TCTCAAGTTTTTAAATGAAGAAAGTACTCTTTGTGATTGGTTTTCGGTCCTTTGTATTAAACTATACATATAATTGTTTAAGCAACTTTATTAATTATATATGGTTTATAAGCATTATTTTAAACATTATGCAAATATAGTCGTGTTATTTTGTTAGGCTTTGCAGGGCTTGCAAAAACGCTAGCCAGACGTCCCGGGACTATTGTGTTTTCCAGTCGGACTACCAAAATGTATCACCACTCTGCCCGACGGGCTATCTTAAATGCAGATCTCCCGCGGGTCCTTAAAAACTCATAAAGTGAGTTGTATCAAACTTAAGGCCATAAAACGTTTTAAATATGTTAAATGGTATAAGAAATGTCTTAATTATAATTTCAAGAGGTCTTACAGTTGGGGACGGAAAGACAAGCGTCGCGATACGGCTGGATTTCTCTTTTATTTGAATGTATCTGAAGGGAACCGACTGTCCTCAGAAACGTGTCGTTGGCATTTTCATTTAATTTTACGTATAATTCCAGATAAAGCAGCGTTTATGAGCGCGGAGCTGCTTTGTGTACAGCCGTTACTGGGGAAACCGCAATATTTCAGCGCTCCTAAAGCGCCACCTCGTGGCAGAGAATGAATTTGCATTTCCAATAAGCCTTTCTTGCTGTTTATGGTCAGATCAATGCAAATATCAACTCATGTTTTTACGCAGCAAACACAGGAGGCGCTTTTAGAGTGATAAAACTAGCGGTTTCCCCAGTAATGGCTGTAATCAAAGCAGCTCCGCTCATAAACGCTACTTTATCAGATCAAATGAAAATGCCATCGAAACTTTTCTGAAGACAGTCGGTTCCCTTCAGAGATACATTCATATAAAACACCCGCGCCGTGTTATGATTTTGAAACGTGCAGTGCTCATGTTTATTCAACGAAGTCAAACGGCACAAATAAATCAATGTATGGGAAACTGGTAATGTATATCGAAATATCGGAAATGTGTTTAAAAATCATATCACCGTTATTGAAAAAAATGATATCGCGATACATATTGATATTGAATTATTGTCCAGCCCTAGTTCAACCCCACTCACACTGTTCATTTTACTTGTGCAGCTCTTAAAATGGGTCATAAATTGCCTTACATTTATTTAAAAAAATTCTGCAGATACCCTGTAAATAGTGAAATTAAATTCCTTCCTTCAAATTTGTTGATATTTGTGATTGACATTTAAACTCCTATCTGATTTTCTATATTTAAAAAAAAAAGGTATTTTTTTATTTGGGCTAGTTAAATTAATTTTCGGGCTACCAAAATCTGAAGAGTACCTGCCCGAAGGGCTACCAGGGATTTTGAAATTTTGCGAGCCCTGCAAAAGATTTGAGATGAAGAGATTCCCAGAACACATGTTCAATCTTACCACTCCCTCTTCACCGTGAAACCGCACTGCAATGCCTTGTTTGAGTTTCTCATTGGAGGACTTGGACACAACCTCGCAGCTGCTTCGGAATATTGAGTCTGAAATACAATGATAAAAAATGAATGAAGGAGGTGAAGCCTGAAAGATGAAGGAACTTTTGAACAGATAATGAAGAAATTCTTCTACCTCGGTGAACAAGAAGAATATCATTTTCATTAACTGGCCGGTGCACCATATCCGAGTCTAGCTGTCCAGCCAGAAGATGTTCATAAAACCACTCACACCTGTCCTTAAATGGCTAAGGAAGAGAGGTAAACAAAGACCTATTAAAAAAAAATTACTACATTCACTAAATCCTATTGCACTTGCATCCTAGATGAATCCTTAGGCCAGAAACATATTTCACACAAGGATGCAAACACAGACCTGAATACAGCCCCATGGATCTTTAACTTCAGTCGGTCAAACTAAATATTATATGAGCCATTTTCTTTTACGAGGTTTGCAATTTATATCATATTAGCATAGGTACAGTTTTTACACACTAATTGGTGTGATTTCTATCAAAATTAAATTGATATTTATAAAAATATTACTATAAAAAAAAAACACCAGGGTTAAAAACTAAGTCTAAATTAAATTGTCACTCACTAGATCCTAGCTAGTTTGTTCAATGATGTCAATTCTTGAACAATAAAATTGTTAAAAAAATTGTTTTGTAATAGGTGGAAATCATCTGGCAACAGAGCTAGGCAAAAACTAGGTGGGTCAATATTTTATTTTTGACATTATATTTTGACAATATTACTCAGTAACCCTATTAGAATATCTATAGACACCCTAATTTGTGAGATTGTGTGAGTTTTATAAATTAAGGATAAATTACTAAAATAAAAACTACACTAGGGTTGAAACTAATATTAGTTTTGTAATAGTTGGAAAATCATCTTGCAACAGAGCCCTGCATAAAAAGCTGGGACACAGCAAGTAAGTTTACTTTAATGATTACTTCTTTTTTTTTTTCACTAAAATTGTATACGCAACTGTATTCATATATTAAAATCATACAGCAGTGTCATAATTTGAACTGATAATACATTGAGAAGATAAGATATGGGACAGCACCAGGATCACCATTTTAAGAAGAGAGATACAGACATTTGTTGTATTAAAATTAATTGAAATTCAAATCTTCATGTAATGGTAATCTTTAGTTTATCAAACATACAGTATCTATACCTCTAATGCATTTAGATTAAATATTATGAAGGCAAATATTTTATTCTTGATTCTTAAATAGGCTCGAATTTGATTTCATCGTAACTCCAAAAGTTTTTCAGGCCCTTTGGGAGCTGAGGAGCCCTGATGAAGTCCAAATCAGGGACAGGATCTCATTAGCAACTTGTACATAAACTCCAAGAGCTATTTCAGTCTCTCATCATGCTTACCTGTCCTTTAATAATATGCATGAAGCGGGACATGAGCTCAGGACATTCCAGCAGGTAGTGGAAGTGGTTGAAGATGATTTTGGGATTCCTGGGAACAGTAAATGAGCAATAGTGAGAAAGTGTTTTACAAGTACAGTATATTGTAGGTCTAAACATGTTTATGTGCACACATACAAACACACCACTAGCCCTAAACTTAAGGTTAAAAGAAAAGTTTACCTGAAAATGAAACTTTATTATTTACCCATCCTCATGTTATTCCAAACTCGTGGATGTTTTATAATTTTTTTTATAAATTTTGAATTGATTTTAATGCAGCCCTATCATAGTGCATCTAGAATTGGTGCAACCAGAATTGGTATTTAGTTAGTACGAGAATGGACGCAAGCTTCAGTAGAGGAGATGCTTAGTGTTCATTATTGTGTTTAAAGGGGTCATATGATATGACATTGCTAAAAAGAACATTATTTTGTGTATTTGGTGTAATGCAATGTGTTTACATAGTTTAAGGTTAAAAAAACACATTATTTTCCACATACCGTACATTATTGTTGCTCCCCTATGCCCCACCTTTCTGAAACACGTCGATTTTTACAAAGCTCATCGTTCTGAAAAGCGCAGTGTGCTCTGATTGGCCAGCTATCTAGTGCGCTGTGATTGGCCGAATTCCTCAAGCGTGTGACGGAAATGTTACGCCCCTTACCAGGTTCAGGAAACTTTCCTCCGTATTTACAAAGCTCATCGTTCTGAAAAGCGCAGTGTGCTCTGATTGGCCAGCTATCCAGTGTGTTGTGATTGGCCGAATATCTCAAGCGTGTGACTGAAATGTTACGCCCCTTACCATATTTGGAAACATACAGCGAGAATAAAAGTTACGTCTTCTGTCTTTGCGTAAACATTTGGGCGGTGTTCCACACAGTGAAGTAGATATGTGGGGGCGTGTTTTAATGAGGTGTTTTAGGAAGGTGTGGATGAGTCTTAACTTTAGGAAAGAATATCTCTTTGGGTTTGAGACTTTAATCTTTGCAACTTTACAGATCTTATATATGCACGAACAGCTTGCAAAGCTCCAAAGACAAAGGAAAACATGAAATCACATCATATGACCCCTTTAAGTGTCAAGTTATTTTTGATAAATTTTGTTCATCACACGTGACTTCAGAAAACTTTGAATATACCACATACACTACTGTTCAAAAGTTCAGGGTCATTAAGACTTTAATGTTTTTGAAAGATTTATGCTTAAAGCAGCATTTATTTAAACAAAAATACAGTTAATACCTGTAACATTGTGAAATATCATTACAATTTTAAGTAAGTGTTTTCTATTTTAATATATTTTAAAATGTAATTTATTCCTGTGATGGCAAAGCAGAATTTTCAACATTACTCCAGTCTTCAGTGTCACATCCTTCAGAAATCATTCTAATATGCTGATTTGCTGCTCAAGAAGCATTCCTTTCTTTTTATTATAAATGTTGATAACAGTTGTACTGCTTCATATTTTTGTGGAAACTGTGATTTAATGTGTCCATGCTGAATAAAATAATAAATAAAAAATAAAAATAAAAAAAACTTGAAATTGATATTTATACATCATATGAAAGCTGAATAAATAAGCTTTCCATTGATGTATGGTTTGTTAGGATAGGACAATATTTGGCCGAGATACAACTATTCTGAGAATCTGAAATCTGAGGGTGCAAAAAAATCAAAATATTGAGAAAATCACCTTTAAAGTTGTCCAAATGAAGTTCTTAGCAATGCATATTACTCATGAAAAAAT